AAATAAAATCAAGTCAAGATAAGATCAATGAAGATAAACCAATTTACGATAAATGAAGATAAGATTAGATAAGATTTTAATGACCCATGAGAGAAGAATTAAATAACATGGAGCATGTTCAATGTCTTTCTTATTACAAGAGATAGCCTACACTATGGGTATAGTTGGATGTATGTCACATATGTGTCATGTTATATCCAAAGCAGCTGATCCAGACATGTTTTCTAGCCAAACCCAAACAATGAGTCATCATCACGTCTTAACTACAACATGCAGATTTAAACCGTAATTAGTGGTTTAGCTGAGAAGAAACCACCGTGTGATGTTTTCATAAATTACATTCCAAGTCACCACAGTGACTTAAAGTAATCGTCTGCTTTGTTTTTACCTAAATAAATGTCTGCTTTGCTTCTCTCTCAACCCCAATTGATAACAATCAAACAGTGGTTTAAACCTTGATCCATCTTGTGGAAAACTGCTGTATTTGATGTTCTCTGCAGCTGTTTGTGGATAAAAATTTACAGCCGTACAGGAAATAAGGTGTGCCATATAGGACTGCAACTAATGATTATTTCATTATCAATTCATCTGTAACCTTATAGTCTATTAAATGGCAGCAATAGTGCAAAATACCCATTATTATGTCTTCAAATTGTTTGTTTTGTGAGACTAACAGCCTAAAACCCAAAGATAACCAATTTTAAATGATATAAAACCGAGAAGACTCACATATGTGAAGCTTTTTGCTTGTTAAATTACTTCCTTAAATCCTTGTTGGGATAACATTAACTTCATTGATCTTAAGAAGGGAAATTATGAGATTAAGAGATTAATTTTCAGTTTGGCTTGCAGCTACAATACATTTATATACACAGGTTAAATTTCCACACTGAAACAGACTATAGCATTAGACACATGGTTACATTAAATAGGCTTGTGGCATCAACAGCTGAAAATAAGAGCCAACAGATTTCCCCATAAAACGCAGCGTAGACATTATTGATGGCAGAAATGTGCCTCGTGTTCAGACAGGCTCAACCAGCTGTGCGTTCAGGAAAGAAAGTGTAAAATCATGTGAAACAAACAGCCTGAAATTCTCCCTCTGGTCTAATTACGCCATGAGATCCCCTGTGTTACATTCCCCTTACATCCTGCATGTACACCATGCAGTCATGTGTAATGCTATTACAGCACATAGGTTTTATTTTCCCCATTCGTTGTCTGCTTTGATGAAATATAGGACCATATATTATGGAAACAGGGATGTTTGGCCACCCAGGAGGAACGTCTGCTGCTTGTGTTGCAGCGTCATGTCAGAAAGGACTTAACACATAAACACACAGTAAATCTGAACGGTGTTACATCTGTTCAACGTAGAGAGAGAAAACAAAGAGGAAGTAAATTCTGAAGAGGAAAAATCCACCCTCACATCCTCCGACACTGTTAGACAGTAAATTATAAATGTATGATGCTCAATGTTTGACAGCAGTTTTGCAGTTTCCTTATTTGGAGGATTCAGTTAGCTGTTAGCTTAGACATGGAGTCTATTAACCAGCTCTGAGCCCAAGAAAAGTCCAACACAAACACCGATGAAGGACAAAAACAGAAAAAAGTTTTATCTCTTGAAGCACGTCTGACCAAATGTGACCTACGTTTGGAGACAAACCAGGGTCAACATCAGCAGGACATTCTCTGCCAGCTGGAGAGTCACATATCATCTATATAGTCTCAAATATAGATATAGTTAAACATCTATCGACATGATCAGTCTTGAGCATGTCATGTCACTGTTTTGGCTGACGCCCACGTAGCTTGCACGTACCTACGGAGTGAGAGAGCATGCACTGCACAAGGGTTTTCTGAACGTGACATACAGAACCTTTAAAAAGGTAAAAATTTAACCAGTCAATGACACTTTTACAAAACTGACTGAAAGCAATCAAAAAATATTTGTAGAGTGACAGCTGCGTCGATTTTAGTGTTGCTGTTTTACAGACTTGTGAAGCTACTGTGGGTGTAAACTGGGGATCACTGGTATCACTTTTATGGCATGACTGTTGAACATCAGTGAAACATGACGAATGCAGATATAAATCTTCATTCTACAGATCTGAGACACTGAAGCTAAAATCTGATGTTCATGTGGATTGACTGCAAGAAAAAGTTTCTTCTTCTGCACTGCAATTTTTTTCCAGTCAACAGAAACAAGAAAAATCTAAAGGAAAAGGAGTTTTATACACATAATGTACAAGACTAAATACTTTGTCGGAGCATTTCTGCATTTGTGTAGACATGCCTGAATGTCAGCATATTGTTTGTGTATTTTGTGTAGAGTGTGTGAGTGTGTCTGTGTGTGTCTGCAGCCAGAAGAGGAGGGAAAGCACAGCCAGGTAAAGTTAGGCGTGTGTCTGTTTCTCTGGGAGGCACAGACGAGCCCTGAAGGGAAAATCTGAGCAAAACGCAAATCACTACCCTCAACACACACACACACACACACACACACACAACACACAACACACAACACACAACACACTCACACTCACACTCACACACGCAGACACTCAACATGCTGTGATGCACTGCTAAATGTAATAATTATGATAAAACACCAGCGTACACACGTGTACAAAATCATGGATTATGATATCAGGCACGCGGTCAGGGGGCCCCTGGAGTCAATCAGACGTCAAAAAAGAGACCCAATATGACCACAAAGAGACAAAATGAATTGTAAGAGACACAAATTGACCACAAAGAGACACAAGACGACTACAAAGAAAGGCAAAATGTCTCTAGAGTGAGACAAAGTAACCACAAATGACTAAAAAAAACACTTTTTGCATTTCTGTTGGTTTTTCTGCATCTTGTTCACTGTGGTGCTCCTATGTTTATGCGGGGGGGGGCGGGATTGTCTCCATCCATGTACAAAATGAAGCTCAGCCACAACACAACACCACTAAAAGGCAGCAAATACAAGAAATGCAAAATAATCTAATTAAAAAAAACAAAAAACATCTGTGATCATTATTTCATCTTCCCCCAGTGGATGAAGAACAGGTCTGTGCATGACAGCATGAATACAGATGCTACACCCTCCTGTTTTAAACGGACTTCTGCAAACCCAACAAAAGCTGAATCAGACAGTAAAGTACAGTACAGCCTCTGACAGTGGAGGAGATGCTGCTATGAAGCTATTCATAACTCCCAATAGACAAGCCCAGACATTCATGCCAACCACAACCTCATTCCAGCCAGAAAAACCAAGCTTTGAGATCATGTGTCAGCACATAACCAGCTCATTATTCAGAGAAATTCAACAGAAGTGGAGGAAAATGTCAGAATTTACATTTCAAATTAAAGTACAGGGGTTTCCCTAGGGTGAAGTAAGCTGTGGAGCCAATCAAAAAAAATCAGCTGCAGGTGTTTTACAGCATTTTAGAACATGTTTACAGCAGTTTTACAATATTTTCAGCACTTTTCTGGTAATATTTCTGTAGGAACTGAAGGTGTTGTTGGGATAATTTATTTAAGACACAACTCTATATAAACATGACATATAGTATAAATTAAGCATGTAGCATTCATTTACCTCTTCGTTGTGATTTTATCTGTGCGACTACCAACAGCAGGATGACGCAGGTCCGCAAACTCATCATGGACCACCTGTCACGTCGACGCATCCTCGAAAGTGGTTGTTATTTAAGTTTTTGAGCGAAGAAAAAAGGAAATAAAATCCCGTCAAAGGGTCTAAGGAGGAGCTTTCATGTCCAGCAGCTTCCGGTGAAAAAATAAACCAAAGTGAGGACAGTTTCACCGGCCTCCTGCCTACCTGAGGAGGATGTGTGCACCTTCACGCACAGCAGCGTACAGAGGCGACCTGAGTCGCGGGAGAGAGTCACACAACGACTTCCTGCATGAGTTTTTCAAAGTAAAAGCTCCGCCGGTAAACATTTTCTTCACTAAATTCAAATGGACCTTGCTGAGGCAAATATTTCACTTTTTACTCCGCTATATTTATCTGATAACTGTAGTTACTAGTTACGTTGCAGATTCAGATTAAAAATATAAAATGTAAACTGATAAATGATGATTATAAATTAAGGAACAATTTTGATTATCCCAATAACAAAGAATATACTTTTATTTTGAAAGCAGCTACTTCTCCTATTACTTGCATCGTCCTTCGATTAACTTAAAGTGCAGCCTTAAGGCTTGAAGACCACATTTCATGTTTTTGAGGTCTGAACCTTCTCTACTCTTCCCCTCAGGCTGAAAAAAGATGTTAAATTGACTAGGTCTATAACTAATCAATATTTAGTAGCTGACAAAACTACAAAAGAAAAGTGTGCTTGCTAATAGCTGGAAAATTACATTTCAGTACATTTCAAAAGGGACTAAAAGGCTTCAAATCAACCAAAAGCTTTTTATCATGCAGCAGGAAAGTGGCCCATACTGGGAACCAAACCAGGAACTGTCTGATTACAGTGTAAATTATACATCATGGGAAATGACGGCCTTTATTCAGACAATTAAAGTCCAAGAAGTGAAACCTGTAGCTGTTAGATTTTACACTAGAAGACACAGCAGGAGCAATTGGACCTGAGTGATATTCAATAAGTGTAAACAGTGTTTAAATTAAAGGAGAGTCTGAAAGTTAAAAAAGGAAAATGGTTTCAGCCCAGTTTCAAAACATTACCTCCTGTGGATTTTTACATTTGGGCAGCAAATGTAGGCAGGCCCTGCAGAGAGTTTTGATACTGGAAACCTAAAGTCTTAACCGTCCTCTAACAGTAAAACTGTAAAAATTTCAGGATCTGGATGAAATAAGTTTTCCTTGTGTCTGACTGAGTCTCTGCTCAGACATGTTGGCTCCAGTGTGCCACCTGTCTGTGGTCCTGACTGAAAACTGCATTCCTTAAAGAGAGAAAGGCTTCACATAATGACAGATGCTCTGTAACTACCTACAAATAACACACACACTGAGAGGTCGCACATCCATGTTTTCCCTTTTATTGAAAGCTGCACAATCTTTCTGCATCAAAACAAGACAAAGTCGGAGCTTTAATCATGAGGATTTCAACCTTCAGTGAAGGCGAGAAGCTGCTGCTGCTCATCGCTCAGTGGGCAGGAGGAAAGTTAGTGTCAGTGCAGTGTGATAGGGTTTGTCAGAACATGTCCTCCCCGAGTCCTGAACCATACAACTGGATAGAAGAATCCCTCTGACACTTCTCTCGCTCATTTCAGCGTCGATCCTGTCTGCACATGTAAAGCTAAGTCCACTTTTCACTGTGATTTCACCACCGCTGCTCTGTCATCTCTGCGCCATCGGCTGTATTCTCTCTCAGGGCATGTGTTGTTGTAACGACCCCACCACCTTCCTCCTCCTCCTTTTTCACACACTTCAAATTTAAATTCCATCCATCTTCTCTCATGCCCTCAGCTGTCAAAGCTCAGGAAGAGTCATCCTGAAGGTAGCACTTATGTTGTGACCTCTAAATGAGTGCAACACTCGCAAATGTCTGTCATTTTACTCTGAACACACAATATGAGCTTGTTCCTCTCGCTAACCTGCACGGAGAAGACTATGAGGCTGTGTGTCTCTTTCACGCTTGCTCCTAATAAATCACTCTGTAGTCAGCTACCTGGACAGAGGTGGAAGAAGTCTTCATATTCTTATTAGAAGTTCAGACGTTTTTGCCGAAAGTATCAAAATAAAAGGCCTTATTACGCAGAAAACAGTCCCTGCGTTGCCTCATCCACCCACTCCCAAACCATATACATTCATTTAATTTCCAAGAAGGTGCTGGAAGCCAAAAAACAGCTATGAAATGATGATATCAAGATATAAATTATTTACTAAATCTATGAAATGTCAGGAGATGATGAAGCACACCTTTCCAGTGCAAGGTGACAACTTCATATTACTTGTTCTGTTCAGCCAGCAATCCAAAATATATTTTATATATATATATAAAACAAATATATATAAAACAATATATACACAATTTACATCTCACAGCACGTGAAGCATAGCAGCTGATTTCACAGTGCAAACACACACGACAGCCGCCATGGGCGAATCCTGTCAGTGAGAAGCAACTTGTTATATGATAGACTCCTGAGTGATGCTGTGACAATGAACCATGGGACACGTGTTCTGTAGCTGTGGTGTCACTTTTGTCATGTTATAAGCTGAGATACATTTGAACAGCCTCTTATTGTCCTTGTAACTAAATCCAAAACCACAGTCGAGTCATCAAGCCTCAAAAACATGAGATAATATTTCAAATATAGCTGTGAGCGCTGATGTGGAAGTGGTTCAGACATACACAATTAATCAAAGAATTCAAAATTGAATAAAATCTAAGGTACATACTGTTTAGAATGAGTATGTAGTGTGAATTTGGGGCACAGCTTGAGTGATTGTCAAAGTCTGGCCTCTTTTCAAACAGGAAGTTGGAAACAGGTCAACAATTCAAATAAAAACTATTTATTCTATCTATTACATATAAGTTATATAAATATATAAAACAAGCTTTATGAGCGCATCACCTCAGGATGTGAGAAATTGTTCACACTGAGTGAAGACCTGACCTCTGGTGGACTGATAGGGAATGGTCGGGCACAGGCAGTACAGGAAAGCAAAGACAAACAAAACATCAAAAACACAATCTAAAACTTAATGCACTTCAAAAGCAGATTTCATAAACAAAAGCTTAAGTTATTCTCTTCCACTGACCCATACAGCCTCCCTTGAGACAGTTTAAACAGTGTTCCTTCCTTTTGGAATGTTAGCAGCTTAAAATGCTGTAAAGTTCTGAGTATTTGGCAAATATTGCTAAAACTAATTCAGTCCACAACAGTTTCCATTTGAAAATCATTTCCTTCCTTTGTGCTACTTGTAGGAACATGAGCTAAGTATGAAACACAAGGATGCATGCCAATACAGTAACAAAGGCTGTGCTGATAAATACTCATTTTAGTTTGGCACATCTTGAAGCACCTGTCGCATCTTTTGCATGGAGTTCACCTGCCTACAGCAGTTGGTGCTGTGATGAAACCCCTGAGAGTCTTTGGTGTACTCATGTAGGGAGTACTTCAGCTTTGGTCCTCATCCTGTGGCCCTGTTGTCTGCTCATCCACCGGTCGGTCCTGGTTTGATGTTTCTTGGTCCCTTGACACTGACATCGCTGACGTCTCTGCCAAATGACAGAATAAAAGTCACATCCAAACAATCAGTGATAATCATAATCCTATTATATTCGATTATATTACATTAGTACAGTGGTAAAAGTCCAAATAGTCTTTTTGTTACGTAAGTTTAACTCACCAGTGTCCGGGGGCGTAACAGATGTTGGGTCCTGGGCAGATTCTTGGACTTCTGAAATCAGAGTCAAATGATACAGTAAAAGAATAGTCACCATCACAATGCATCTTCTATGGTGATGATTATTTTTAATATTGACTAATTGTTTTGTCTCTAAAATGTGTGAAAAATGTCCCAGTGATGTCTGCAAATGTCTCCTTTTGTCCAACCAACAGCCCAAAGATATTTAGTTTACTATGATGTACGACAAAGACAAGCATCAAATTCTCACATATGAGAAGCTGCAACCTGTAAATGTTTGGTATTCTTTGCTTAAAAAATAACTAAAAGAATTATTTGATTATTAAAAATACACGCAGATTAATTTTCTGCATAATCTGCCGCTAACAGCTCAGTTCACAGTAAAGTTTACATGCTGTAAACGGGCCTCATGTTGTACCATCATAGTATCTTTCCTGTTGGATATAATATTCCACTCACCAGTTTCAGTGCTGGTTTCTTGGGACACAACAGATGCTGGGTCCTGGTTGGATGTGTCTTGGACCGCTGGAACAGTTGTTGACCTCTCTGTCAAATGTTACAAGAATCATCAGGACCACAATGCTTCTGTCACAGGTCCTTATAACGTCTCTGGATTTACTGTCATGGCTCTGTTTGGTATTAATCATATTTAACTCACCTGTTACATTGTTGGCATCTTGAGACACAGCAGGTGTCAGATGCTGGTTTGGTGTTTGCTGGTTATCTTGTGGATCCACCAGTCGGTCCTGGTTTGATGTTTCTTGGTCACTTGACACTGACTTCGCTGATGTCTCTGCCAAATGATAAAATAATCAGTGAGAAAAACACACATGGTTCTTGTTCAGATGCTGAGTACAAACAACTTGGAACTGTGAATTCTGTCTCTATTAACAATCCCTTTAAAATTCCTATTATATTCCATTATATTATATTAGTACAGAGTTTAAAATTCAAATTGCCTTTTCATCATGTAAGGACCTATCTGGGTTTTAATATTGTACTTTTGGCAACATGTCCTATTTTGTATGATCAAGTTGAACTCACCAGTGTCCTGAGCGGTTTCTGGGGACATAACAGATGTTGGGTCCTGGGCAGATGTTTCTTGGACCTCTGAAAAGGTTGTTGGTGATAAAAGAATTGTTACAGTCACAAAACATCTGCCACATGGTGAGAGGTATATCTTAAAGGTTGTAGATGAAATTATCTCAAGTAGTACAGTTTACATGATGTAAATTTGGTGAAACAGGCCTCATGTTGTACCATCATAGTATTTTTCCTCTTGGATATATTAACATTTCACTCACCGGTTTCATTGCTGGTTTCTGGGGACACAACAGATGCTGGGTCCTGGTTGGATGTGTCTTGGACCGCTGGAACCGTTGTTGACCTCTCTGTCAAATGTTGAAAGAGTAATCAGGACCACAATGCTTCTATCACACTCTAAAAATCTCATTTTATAATCTGGGTTTATTTAGGACCACAGTCCTTCTTATAACGTCTCTGATTTTCACTGTCATGATTCTGACCATCATTTCATATTGGTATTAATAATGTTTTACTCACCTGTTATATTGTTGGTATCTTGCTGGTTATCTTGTGGATCTGCTGCCTGATCACCCACCAGTTGGTCCTGGTTGGCTGTTACTTGGCCATTTGTTATCATTGTCACTCTCTCTGTTCAAGAACAAAGAAATGCCACGACCATAATACATCTGACACAGTCTAAACTCCTGTTTACTGCTGTTAAAGCAGTGCATGAAAAACTTCTTAAAATTAAATCAAATTTAAAAAAGAACAATTTCATCAATTTATTAAAAACAGAAAAACAGAAAATGATTTTATAATCGCCATATTTTAAACAGATTTAAGATTAGAAATCTGTAAAATTATCTTCAGTGATTACAAAGGAAGCAGTTTCTTACCTTCACACGTCCATTCAACATCTCTTCCTGTATCAAAAATGAAAAAGTGTCTGTTACCTCAGTGAAATACATCATTAATAACAATGCTTTGTTTTGTTATTCTGGTATATTTGGTAGTAAATGGAAGGTTATGAACACACCCTGTTGTGAATGTACATGGAACATGCCTCGTCTTGATCCTGTCATTGTTTCAGTATTTACAGTTTCAAGATGGTGGCAGATAAAAAAAAAAAACAGGAAGACAGGAAATGTTGAGTCACATTTCAAAACTTGTGTAACATTTGTATGAGTAATAAGTCAAGTGTTGTGTCCTCGGCTGAAACTGCTCTTTTGCTCTTTTTTAAAATGTATTTTTAAAAATGTTTAATATCCCTGTTTCTCGCTTCTGTCTTGTCTTTTCTATTTGTATGAAGTGTGCTGTATAGATAAAGTTTTTAGATTATTATTTTTAATTATTACATTTCCCACAATGCTTTGGAGGATGTAAACAAAGTATGATGTTGTCGTGGATTCAGTGAGTTAGCTGTTGACTAACTTCATCAGCTGTGCTACTGCAAGCTGCTAGGTGCATTTTTTCAGCTGCTGACACCTACATGCGTATTAAGCTTCAGCTGATAATGACTGGCATCCTTTCTCTACCTTTGCTTGCGTGAACTCATTGATCAACTGTTATTAAACATTAGTAAATATGTTTATGATGATAATGCCGCAATACATATTTAATGCAGTGATATAAAGACAATTCTTCATGGTTTCTAACCTCTTATTCTGTAAATGACAAACACGATACACAGAATCAAAGCAGCTATTGGGAGCAAGATGAATATCCAATTCCGACTGCCTGCAAAGAAACAAAGAAACAAAACAAAGAAACAAATAAAACAACCAGTGTCAGCTGATCTGTATGTGATAATGCAATCTGAGGTGTCCCAGTGAGCTGCTCATATTATATCAACTATGAAAGAAAACATTAAGATGCACTGTGATATTTAATGAGCTGTTAAAGTAGATGTTTGCTGGTGTGACAACTCACTGGAGTTGATGGGTTTGAATGGGTTTGGGGCTTGATCACTGCTTCTAGAGCTGACAGGGTTTTTCAGCATACAGCTGAACCAAGGCTCCTTCTCCTCCTAGACATTGAGTGAAAACCACACCAGACATAAACATTCAATCTTAACTAGGTTACCTGGTGCCTTTGTCTTGGTTCAGTATGTCCACATTATTATTATCACTAGGATGCAAAGACAGTTATATGAACAAATGTGAAATAAGGCATGTTTCCATCCACCACACCATTATCCAGTTTATACCTTTGTTATAATATACTCTTTATGTGTGGTTGAGTTCCGTGTCACATCGCCTGACTTCCACGAATAGGTGATTGGTTCAGCGTGTGTGGTGATGCCTTCACAGATGAGTGTACAGGAGGTCATCTCTTGGTCACAGTGTGTGGAGACAGTGGGTTTAGGGACAGGAGCTCAAAGAAAAAGGAACAAACAGAGAGAGATGTAATTTGAACTCAGAGGGAAAATATATAATATAATAATATAATATGTCGTGGCCAGACTTCTAGGAGAACTCCTCCACTTACAGATAACCAGGAGCTGAGTCGTCCTGGTGGTGACTTTGTCGTTGATCTCTGATGTGTAGCTGCCACTTTCCATTTGAGTCACTCCTGTGATTGTCAGCGCTCCAGTTGAAATATTTAGGTGAGTGCGATCTAAGGATATGCACAGAGACGGTCAGATTTATCTTAACTTTAGTTGTCTTTTGTTTTCCAGGGGAGCAACTGACTCCCAATGTTTGTCACTAAACACCTGGCAGCTGAGAAATCTGCACTTTGAAACAGTGAAAGTGTACTCGAAGAATCACATCAACATTTTGACACAAGGTAGACATTTCTAATGATCTATAACAATAAAAGTGCCGTTTTGAATTCCCTTAAATTAAAACATAATGAAAGACATACACAGTTTCATTAATTTTACTGATTAATTATCATGTAATTAGGGTTTTCAATATTTGGGGATTATATGCAGTTTAAGTAAAATTTATTTACGTACCTTTAAACTGTCGGTAAGGGTAAATTTGGTTATCAATCAACTCGACTGCGATGTCATATCCATGTTTCCATGTCATGGTCTTGATGGAATCCTTCACAGGACCCGGTGAGAGGACAGTTGTGTTACCTACTTCCACATATATAATATCTGCAAAATAACATAAAGACAAGGGGCCATTTAGTCAATTAATTGATCACTAGAAAATGAATCAGGAATATTTTTGTTAATGGATTAAGTTTTTTAGCAAATCCTCAAACAACATTCTCTTATTCCAGCTTTCAAACTTGGGAAGATTTGCAGCTTTTCTCTGTTTTACATCATTATAAACTGAACATCTCCATGGGTTTTGGACTGCTGGTGACTCTAGCAGGCATTTTATAAGCAAAACAATTCACTGAGGAAATAATCAGAAGATTAATCGATAATGAAATAAAGCAGTAGTTGCAGCCCTAAATGTAAAATCACACATTTAGTTCTTTAAATGTACTTTTTTTCCCTCTTACCTGACAATTTTACTTAAGTACAGTAGCCAGGTTAATGTAGGAATGAATTATAAACCTTTTCTGAAAGGATTCAAATAGTTTATTCATATTAATAATTATAGTATCTTCACAGTTAATCTCTATGAATGTATGTATGAATAGTAGGCCAGGGTGTGGTCACGAGTTAAAAAATGGGAAAAAAAAAACTGTAACAAAAATATATATATTTATATATAGTGTAAAAACATATAAAACATAAAAACATGCACAGATAGGCCACATCTTTTACAACTTTCTAGACATATATGCCTAGATAAAGCAAAATTAGCATTGCGCTAAACTTACCTGAGTTAGCTTCCACTGTATTCAGTAGCTGAATGGCAATGAATAAACTGCATCTTCTAAATAAATACATCCTCCTCTAAATAAATACAAACCACAAAGCGATGTGCAAAACAATAATTATTATTGTTGTTGACCCCTAGAAACTTTGCAAAGTCGATTGAGACCGACGATAAACCGAAAGCAAAAGTAAATAAACGGAAACGGAAGAAACTGAGGGAAGTACGAAATACGCTGCGTCACACAATGCGTCACACACGCATTTAGGTTGATATAAGAGAAGTGCAGTGCGTACGGGTGTTACATTGTTGTTACATGTTCCATTTAATGGACACAAAAGTGGAATCTTCTCACCAAACTCTTGTAAGGAAAGGTATAAAGTAAAAAAAACACAATAAAATGCTTCTTAGACTCAGTATCAATAATCTAATGATCAACTGTAATAATATTTCACTGACTGGTAATTTTTTGCTTTATTATTTTAGAGCAATGGTTCCCAGCCTTAGTGGAAACGTCACAAACAAGTTAACAAGAACATATTCCTGCTGCACAAATTCTGTTTAATTTTAAATTATAAATCTTGAATCTTTGCCTTTTCAGTGCCAACACCTGGAGAGTTACACCACTGAAGCAACTAATATTCCCCAATAATTTATACATTTCTTAAATACATAAAAACAAGAACCAAGACATAACTACACCATAAATCTTAATAATTTTATTGTCTTTGTTCTCATGATATTACAAATATGATACTTCTGCAATTCAACTTTAACTGTGCAACACAATGGCATTATGGACTGTTAAACTTGACATCCAGAGGGACGTCTGTGACTCCAGGGGCTGTGAATCCTGCAGAACAAGGGCCTTGTTTGGGATTTTTTTTTTTTTTTTTTTTTTTTTGTCAGTGTCATCCTATGAGTGTTATAAAACAAGAGTCAAGCTTTGCAATTCATCTTTAGTGTTAACATTTATCATCATTCATTCATCTCCCTCCCGCCTGTCGGGTTTCTTTGTCCGCAGGATTCACTAGCAGCTTACAAACAGGATTTTTCACCATTGATGCAATGAATCAAGGGGGGGGGGGGGGGGAGAGAGAGAGAGAGAGAGAGAGAGAGAGAGAGAGCCGGGTCCCTCCCCTCCATCCTCCCCCACAGGTCAGAGAGCGACTCCTCGGACGCGGGCTTGAAGTAAAGTTGTACAGTCTCTTTGGATGAGGCTGGTGGTACCTGGTCAGAGCTGCAGGGCTGCTTGTCTTTTAAAGAATGGGTGATCTCACCACGTAGGTTTTTGGGACACCAGTACAGATAAGAACAATGGCATGCAAGACTCACATACAGACCCACTTGTTATTATTTCTTTTTTTCTTTTTCTTTTTTAATAGAAAATAAAGATTCTGACATAAGTACAAGCACTGAGCCCTCGCAAACACCAGACAGCCAAGCGTATTGGAAACGGTACGGAGGACGAACGATGCCTAAACTGACGCCGTTAAGAAGTATCGGGGGCTTGCGACGGTTAAAACCATTTCAACACAACAGCTGGCTTCTTTTCATATTCATAAGTCCTGTTTTGAGGACATAATACATCTCACATTTATATTATTTCTTCTTCTACACCTTTTTACTACAAATGTATGTGCTTTTGATTTAAAATAACTTGGGAAAATTTGATGAAAAAGAAAAGAAAAGATAGATTTGTAGTTCAAGGACAGTCCACCCCACTCTGGCCAATTTATTGCAAATGAAGTGATAACCTCTGAACAGCAACACACACTTCAATATGGCACAAGCATCTTAGAAATGACCTAAATGCATCGTTGTCGCTGTGGGTGAATATCAAAAACCAAACCACACCATATCTAAAAATATTAAGACAGTAATCATCAGTAGAGCAGAAAAGAAAGGTTTTTTTTTTTTCCTCGTTGAAACATGCAGTCTGCCGCTCTGCAAGCAAAACTCAATTCTGGACCCCTTGGTAAAATGCCAAAAATAATCGTAAAAAGAAAGACATAAATAAAAATCTTCATCTCGAATGTATAAGAACACCGCAAACGATTAGTGCGCCAGCTGAGCTAATATATTTCTTCTATTATTCATGACAGGAGCTGCAGGAGTAAGACTTCAAAATCCAGGTCATTGTGCAAATAAGGATCTCTCGCTTCCCTCTCTCATTTGAGGGCTGAAGGACGATGAATGCACACTGGCCAGCAAAGTGAAGCATGTAGTGACTAAACTCGCCCCTTCAAGTTAAACCTCGGACTTGCCTGGCGCAAAACATTTCAGATAATTAAATAAACTTTGAAAAAGAAAAAAAAAAAATCTGGATTTAAAGCACTCTGGGGACTTTCTGTTTGCTCTCAGACGTCTTTTCTGACCCACTTTTATCTAGCTTAGTGTGTGTGTCACCTTAAGACATTTGATGTGCTTATCTTAGTAAATGTCAGCTTTGGCACACTCCCTGCTGAGGTACCCAACTAAAAGTTTTTGTCAAGTACAGAAACTACTATTTTTTTCCCACTGAGGATATTGTTGTTGCATTACACTTAATATACAGAGAGGTGTATTTTTCTCTAAAATGTCTCTGGAGTGTTACAGAGAAAATCTACACATGAAGACATTCTCCTCCAGCCCTTTCTCCAAGGCTGCGATGTGGAAATCCCGACTAAATTGCTCTCAGCAGCCTCATCTACCTGCTCACCATTTATCCCACTACAAAATCCAAATAAATATGGTTTAAAACAAGGGCAAAAAAAATCAATGTAGTGGCCTTATGTAACACAAAAACCTCAAAATACAATAACTGTCACCGTCCAGTCCTCCTCAGTCAAATAAAGAAACAAAGAAAGAAATATTACAGGGAAGGATATATCTAGAGTAGTGGTTGTTTTACAATGGCGACTATGTCAAGAGAATGACTGGGCGTCAGTTTGTCACATTGCAAATTCTTTAAAAACTGCTTCCTTTTCCCCCTGCCTCTTTTCTCTCCTCGCCCGGAGGTGATCATACTCTGTCTGATCAAAGTCTTTGACCTTAAACTCTTGGCTCCCCTCCCTCCCCCTTCCCCATCAAACGCTTCTCCCGCTCCTCTTCCTCTTCCGCTCAGAGGGGGGGGGGGATTGTTCAGTCGGCGTAGTGCATGATGGACTCGACATAGTTGCCTGGGAACAGGCCCGTGGTCCCGTTCATCACGCCCTCGAACCAGCCGTCATCGTTCTTCTTTATCACATAGATGATGGCGCCCTCCTGGAACGAAAGCTCGTCTTCTTTGTCGCGAGTGTAGTCGTAGATGGCCACCACTGAAGAAGAAGAGGAGGAGACCATTAATAAAACAAGCAAACATTACTGTAATCAGTATTTTAACATGGTGTTTTCTTTTGAAAAACTGCCTCATCAGTGACGGCACACCTTTCTCTAGGTAGGTGCGTGGTGCCCAGGGTGGGTCCTCCTCAGCGTAGGGGTCACTGTACTCCACCACTGCAGACTCCTCTTCATCCTCATCATCCTCATAGTCCTCCGGTGGTGGAGGAGGAGGTGTAGGCTCCTCAAACACCGGCTCGTCTGCAGGTGGAGGTGGGGGCGGCACGTCTGAGACTGAAAGTAGTTTTGACACAGGAAGAAAAAGGAAACCAATCAGAGGACAGAACAGGAGCACAGAGATGACAGGGACACAGACTGATGGACATTCCCATGCATTTGAGAAAAGAACAGAAACAGCCCATGCTGGACGACGTTTACACACTCACACACGCATTTTTATTATTACAGAAACACCTATAACCACAGCACTTTATTTATGCTGAACACTAAGAACAGAACGATGTGACATGAGAGGAACAAAAGGTGCACACACAGATTCAACGTGCATTTATATAACTTCAGGAGGGAGCTTGATGTTGAAAGAAATCAAATAAATTAGGCAGAAACATCATCATGCTCATTATTCACATCATGCTTTACATGTTTTCTCACTCTTTTCTTGTTAACGAGCGGTCAACCACCAACATTTGCTGCCAAAGGGACCTAGAATTGTGTGAGTGTCCAAAGCCTGATTATCTTTAATGTGTACACACATCATGTAATTTATTTTGGCTCAATGCCACATACATCGTCCTACTGCACCAAATACACATTAAAGCACCAAATGTGGATTAATCCACCACTGAAAGTAGTTCCCTGTTCTCCCATTTGAGCTAAAAACTAGTGCCTCGTTGTTTTTGAACATTATTTACCCTTTAAAAAAAATGAAACTATGAATCTATGAGTCTTTTTAACATCAATTAAGATCAATAGGGACACTCATCCGTCTCCGTCTTTATTATATTTAACTGTTTTGCAGTCATAAAGTTACCGAACAGATTATGACATTCGTTCTATGCTGCCCTGTGACAAACAACTGGAGAAAAAATAAACCAATCATAATATAATGTGTCCAGAGGTAACATCGCTGATCCCTGTCCAAGCAGGTGTTGGTGGTCGATCCCTTGTTTTCTCCAATAAGAAGAACAGGCTGCACTACTGACACTAACTGTTTGGGAGGGGACTTAAATCACATGGTGGTCATGCAGAGGGAGCGAGGAGCTAAAAGCCACTTACTAGTCTCCTGAACTCGGGCCACAAAGCCCATCAGAGGCAGCTGAGGGGTGATCTGCATGGAGGGGGGAGGGGGCGCAAGCGGGCCTGCTATCACCGAACAAAGTAAACACACAGAGACGGAGGAGGATGGGGCCAGAGAGAGGGAGGTGTGTCGCAGTAAGACAGACACAGGAACAGCAAAGACATGAGAAAATGAAGTTAGAATAAAGAAGAGAAGCACAGAGGGGAGTTAAAGAACAGGAATAAGAACTGCAGAGAATAAACGCAACAGTTACAGAATGAAGACAATGACTTCAGCAAAGCTCAGACCTGAGAAATCCATTATCATTCACTTTTCTTTTCTACTTTTCTTTCTTTTTATAGACCAAATGATTATTCAATTATAGTAGTTGAAATAGGTGTTAGTTGCAGCCTTAAATGACTCTTAATAACATACCACAGACATAATATTAATATAAACGGGTATTTCAGTTTTAATACACATTTATATAAGAGAAATAAACTAAAAGCTTGGCACTTAGACAACTCAAGAGACAAATGGAGGATGAAAAGCCTGCAAAGAGCTGTGAAGACAGAGAGCTGGTACAGAGGTGAAGTC